ATATATATGGATCCACAGGCACACGAAACAAACAAACAGTATATATATATATATATAAATAAACAATATATACACCTATATATACATATCTATACAATCAATCCTATACAATCATATATATATTATAATTCTAAATCATATATATATATATTATACACACACACACACATATATATATATATATATATGTGTGTACATATATACATACATTTATATCTATACATATATATATATACGTATATATATATATACATATATACATGCATATATATATATATATATATATATGTATATATTTATATAAATATATAAAACGTATATGTAAACAAATCCTGTAGGTCTCCATTTTCAGCCATTTCTTAGTATTATGTATTCACGTACGTTGTATAGCCAAGCTTGTATCATTATTTCTGCCTGCATATTGGTGTATTGCAGCAAAGACAGCAGGTCGCTAAACTGAATAGAATCTGCTACGCCTTCGGCCATTGTCAATGTCCGTGTGGTTGTATGCTTATTTTCGTATGAGAATTCACTGGCACACAACGGAAGCTGCATGCGTAGTTGAACTTGAACATTTGGACACCAGAATGACACATGCTCATGGAAAACTCTGGTGTGCTCATACAGCAAGTAACACTTTTGAATCTGCTACACGCTTACATATTGACAAATTTGACTGTGCGCATGTAGTATATCATTTGTCAGTATATTTCGAAGTCAGTCTTTTTGGTTCCATGTATCCATATTCTAACTAGTATCAACTAGTTGAACATAGGCGTAGAAGATCATGTGATGAACCGCAACTAGCAAATTGATGCTGTCTACTATTATCATGCGAGTACACGAGTTCAAAGTTGCTCATCATCCACAGACGGCAAGCCCAAGGAAGCAACAAATCGCGTCGAGCATAAGAACGACGCTCATCATATATTTAGATTGTGGCAAAGCATAGTAATGCCATATATATATTTATGCATGAGCCATGCATGCAGCACAGCGATATACACACTGGGCTTGGAAATCAACATCGTCATCTATGCTTTGTCACAAGATATACTATTGATTCTGATTTAGTGTTTCACACAAGGCTTGCTGGAAGGGTGTCGCTCACGAGTGGGTCAGTTTGTGCAATCGTAATTACAAGTCACTTCTTGAGTCGTACAAGAAATAGTGAAAATATTGCGTAAAGCCACTGTGCATACTCCAGGGAGGAGAGATCTTGAAATCGGATACCTGTGTAGTATACATTTGAAATAGTCTACAAATTGAGACACTGCTGTGCAGATGTTCTCTTCTTGTTGTGTAAGATCGCCACACGAATCTATTTGGTGTGTATTCCAAAAGATGGGATATAAGATTACTACTTGATACTAAGATGGGATATTAGATTACTATTTGATACTAAAGATGGGATACAATACTACTACTCGATACGGATATAAGATTACTACTTGATAAGTGTATCACACCACCGCATGCACACCGCCGCACCGGACACTCGGTCAATGATTGATACATAAATGCGGATGAGTCTAAAAAATCAGAAATGATCGTAGTATGTACAATAGCGTAAAAGCGGGAGCATCTCAAAAACCCTTTTTTTTTTAAAGAGGAAGCAAAAGAAGTCCAAGATTCAGTTGGAAGATCATCCGGGCGATGAAATGCCATACAGTTTGCCACCTTGCGTTGCGCGTGCCAACCGATCTACTACTACTAATAAATACTTGTGTAAAGTTGTAGAAAGAGTACCAAATACCATCATATATTTAAAAAAAATTGCCACTGCCAAGTGCCAGCCATTAATAGTACTGAGTCGTAACACTAATACTGCAGAGTAAAGAGGTATTTATTCCCAAAATGACAAATATTTGCAAAAGCGCTTGCTTTTACAATTTATTGAGCATAGTTCGAAGGCCGAAGCTTTATTAAGGTCATCGAGAGTAGCTTCGTCAGTTTATTCAGAACTACCTATTGGCTAGTTGCATACGGTTGTCATGTTCAATTCAATATATTTTTGCTAGGTTACGCCATTGCTACAGCAATGACCAATGAATATATAGATTGGAAACGGCCCTTTTTATTAGGCTGCGCTCGACATCTCCTCAGTTTTTGGACTACAAAAATATTTTACGCAATACGTTTCCAAATTTGGCACCGTTTTGTTTGGGCTCGAGCGTCATTTCACCAGGAAGTAAATATTTACGTTTTGCATATATATATAAAACCTGTATTTAAAAATCACAGCCCCCCAAGCCTCAGACCCCCAGGTCCCCAGTTAAAACTGGCCCCGAAATGAAGTCAGCAGAGTTGAGTCAGTGTTCACTGTACAAGAGTACTGTCACTGTGTAAATGCAGTTTTTCTTTTCTTTTCAGTGAGTTTCAGTTCTGAGATTTCACACAAACTCACAGAGAGAGAGAGAGAGAGAGAGAGAGTACGCCCGCATAGGCGCTGAAAGTAAAAAAAAAGACCACTGCCGACCAATGGGCTTTGCTGAGAGAGTTTTAAAAGGAGTAAAATATAACAGTTGAAAATCGCCAAGGAAAAAGTTTGCAATGTCGAATTATTATTGGTCAAAAACCTGGGAACCATTTATATATTTTTTCTCACCCGTCGCTGCGTTTGCGCTAAGAAATATTGTGAAACATTTTCTCGCCAAAAGCTTACACCACCACGAACAATTTCACACAAGACATAAATATACGGATGAATGCGTATAGATGGTAGTTATACCTCGCACTTTTGTATCTGCTACAGAGGCGTTGTCAGGTATAGTTTCAATTGAAATATAGTTCTACACATGTGTACGCCGTTTTATCCCTTCTTATAAACGCTGCATTCGGTGTGAAAGACTGTTTAATACCTTGGAAGCGGAAGTAGCCCAAATTAATGATCACTCTCGGCCTTCTATTGCACTTCAATTAAGAAACCTTGTAAGAGTAATTCATACAACAGAGGGCACATCGAAGTTTAGACAACACTTCGGTATACAATGCCGCTTGAAGAAAAAAATACGATATTGGAATCGCGATTAGGCGAAGTGTTTTCTGGGATGTCTAAACAAGCGATGCTAAATATGTCGCCAAGAATAGACACAGCCGGTACGAATGACACTAATATATTAGGCATAGACCTGGATATGATATCCAAAACTGGCCTACAATCCAAGGTATGTAATAGATGTACTAGAATGAGGTTTGCGTATAATTGCACCATCTGCTTGATAC